TCTCCCCCATGGAACCTTAGCTTCTGGGAGTGGAGCAGATGGGTAAGAGCAGTGGTGATTGCAATATAAAGTAAAAATATGTAGTTGTAGTGTGAGGAAGAGAAAAGTAAAAAGTTATGTAGCAAATGGTTCTGTATTGGTGCTTAAAGTTCTCTGAAGTTGTAATCACCAGGCAAAATAGATTCGAGGTTGGAAGACTTCTGTGTAGGGAGATTCTTCTGAGGTTATATGATTTAGTGGTCTAGAGTATTATACTGGGAGGCAGTAATTTCTGAGTTATAATCCTGATGCTCTTTGATTTATAGCATGACCGTGGGTTGGTGATTTAACCCAAAGCTTGCAAAATGTACTAGACATTGGAATCTGACATAGATCGGAGGTCCGGGGCAATGCATCCTCTTTGGCATTCCCCTCCAGCTACTTTAAATTAGTTAGCATTCATAAAAAATAATGGATGATCTCCTGTCAAGATCTGGCTAGTATGTTGGGAATGAGGCCATCCACTACTTTCTCTACTCTCCTGTCAAAGCTTCCTTTTTTTAGGTCCTTTCTATTTATAACTCAAGTACTTATGACTGCTTATAGCTTTACTAAGAAAAAAACTGAAGTGGATGTTCTCAGTTCACTGTTACCCATGTGATACTGAATTACTAACATTGATAATTAAAAGTGTTTGTTAGTTTAATACTGCTGTTTCCTGCCAAAGTTATGGTCAGCAGTGGGACTGAAACAGTTACCTTTGAGGCTTATACTGAGAATGCTATATAGGTTCACTTACAAAAAGGCTGTCTTGAGCCTACTGGAGATTTGCCACAATACATTGGACTTCACATATAAGGGCTTCTTCAATTTTGGACACAAAACTTGTATTCTGGATATCTCTGGTCTTGGTTACATTTCAGTCTTATGCAGGTGTCCCCTGTGATCTTGGCTTAGGCTTATTTTGGGGCAGTTAAGGGGCCCTTGTTTGGGATCAAATCCATTTCACAGCTGCTAACTTTTGTAGCTATCTATTTTAAAGAATATGAATTTGAATCATTCTAAGACATTAATTGTAGTTCTAGATCTGAATTTTTATTATATGAGCATATTGTAATGTCTCACTTGCTCAAGTTGTTTTTTATTATATCAACAGCAAACAGACAGAGCAAACAGATTTGAGTATCTGTTAAAGCAGACTGAGCTGTTTGCTCACTTCATTCAGCCTGCTGCTCAAAAGACTCCAACTTCACCTTTGAAAATGAAACCAGGACGTCCACGAATAAAAAAGGATGAGAAACAGAATCTGTTGTCAGTTGGCGAGTAAGTAATACCTTTTAACATAGTTATGCCCGTAATATAGTTCTCTTATCTTTTTGCAGATTAGGAGCTTCCTTTAAAAGATGTGATGATGTAGGGTATTGTGCTTTCTTCTCAAAATTGCTAGTATTTTAGACACCCATCAAGCCTTATAAAATGGAAAATCACTTTGCACTAAAATAACCACAGTTGTTTATAAACTGAAGTTTGGTCAGAATCTAATTTAGGGATGTAAATGGGTAACTGGTTACCTGGTAAGCATCACCCTTTAATGGGTAATGCATCCTGGTTAGTTGGTGCTTCACCTGGCTGGTGCTAGCAATCCCCCATCTGCAGTGTGATAAGCGACCTGGCAGGAGCAAATTGCCACAGTGCGGTGCGGTGGGTCCTGCAGCCTGGCTGGGTCCAGCAGCCCATGGTGCAATGCAGCAGGCTGATTAACAAGTTAAATATATAGTTTAACTGTTTAACATTTTAAATGGGATTTTACATCCCTAATCGAATTTTGGGGTGGTGAAATAAACAAAGTAGCAAGTGGGTGGGAAAAGTAAATTGAATGGTTTTGGAGAATCCATGTGTACTGAATTTTATAGCTGAACCAAAATGCTAAAAAGAAATGTATTTTGTTTTTGCCTTTTGCTGTTTGATTTATAAAGATGTAGGCTTCTCTCTAACTCCTGAAAGAGAGCTCCAGAGCAGCTACCTCCGAAAAGCTTGCTGCAACCTCCCCATTGTAGGCTAATGTTAGCATCCTTCCTGTAGTCTTTCAGTTTTGCCCTACTCCAATCTTTCTGCTCACTACCCTCTCATAAGTGTGTTGCTAACAGGAGAAAAGAGAAAATTTCTTCCATCTGAATTTACCTGTGTATAGGAGTTGAGCTGTCAGCATACTCTTCTACTCAAATCAGCACAGATCAGCAAACAGTGTGACAGAACAGTAGACAAGCTTAAAATTGGAAAGAGTAATTATCCTCAGCATGCTGTTACAAAGCGTATTGCAAATATTTATGAATGTACAGGTTTCTTCAGATTACTCTTGTTTACATTTATCAAGAATGGAACCAAATAAATGATGGTAACTTCTTATGGAGCAGTCTGGTGCCTTCTCAATCTAGTTTGAAATTTGTATTTTTGATTTTGTTTTGTGTAGCTATCGACATCGTAGAACAGAACAGGAGGAAGACGAGGAGCTATTGACAGAGAGCTCCAAGGCGACTAATGTATGCACTCGATTTGAAGATTCACCATCATGTATGGTTTGCTCTTTCATTTGTTATCCTTGGTAAAGCCTCAGTGGACCCTAAAATTGTTCTCTTTCCATTATTCTTGCCTTCCTGAGGAGGTTGTCAATTCTGCAAGTTCCTGTAATCTAGAATATATTGAACATTTAAATTTGCAAATGTTAGGATTTTGGATATTCCTGAATCTGCTGAGGATCTGGCATTTTAAACTTTAAGTTGCTATCTAGCTGGAAATGAGTTCAGATTCTGCAGGAAAGAAATAATTCATAGGGAAGATCTGGAGCCACCATCTCCCTGCGCCTGGCACTGACCGCAGAGTCCCCTGCACCCAACCCCCCATGCCAGCATCTTGCCCCCTCCATGCAAACCTCCTGTTTCCAGAGCTCCACTGCACCCAACTCCCCCCAGTGCCAGTCCCCAAAGCCCCCCTTTGCCAGTCCCCCACCTCTTAGAGCCCCACATCCTCACTGTCTCCCCAGCAGTAGCCCTGTCCATGGAGTGCCCAGTGCCTGCTCCACCCCCCTCATGTAGACTTGTGCTTCCTCCCAGCTGAGCACTGCTGCCTTGGGTCATGGCTGCCCTAGACTGCTGTGCCGGCCTCCGCATGGCCCTCCCACCACACAGCGAGCCGTTCTTCTGTGTCTGGAAGGAGATCCCACCCCTGCCTAGCGCTGGTTGGCTGAAAGGCGGGACAGGACGTACTTCTCCCAACAGCTGCAGCAGGAAGGGAGATGCTGGGTGCTGTTGCCCACACCTGACGTGGCCTGCCAGCCAGCTGTTCACAGCCCGGCACTGGTCTCCGGACCAACAATTGGGAACCTATAGTATAGATAGATATAGATGAGTGGGTTTCTTGCTCCAGTGGGTTGTGCCCATGAAAGCTCATGATACTATATATATATATAGTTAGTCTCTAAGGTACTGCAGGGGCACTTGTTTAAGGGGTGTGTTTTTTTGAGAGAAACATAAAAGTATGCTCCATATGCTTTCACTCTTCAGGTTCAGAGAGATGTCCTAATTGCTCTTTGGAAAGTACTACTGTCACATTCTTCTACCTTGAAGTAAGAAATAGCATTGCTTAGCAATAAGAGAATATGATGTCAAATATTTCTTTGACAAATCTTTAATCTGTTTTAGATGTAAAATGGGGCAAACTGCGTGATTATCAGGTCCGAGGGTTGAACTGGCTCATCTCTTTGTATGAGAATGGCATCAATGGTATCCTAGCAGATGAAATGGTAGGCATTGCTAATTTTTATTGTTGGAGGGTATGTGGGGAGAGAGACCAGGAAGACAAGAACTGTAATCAAATTTTGGTCTCTAATTTTTTGAAGAAGCTGTTTATATTCTAAAATGCAAGATGTTATAATGCACTTGGATTTTTATATAGAACATGGTTAGTTTCACAATATGTTAAAATTACATTAATGACATTACTCCAACAACTGTCAGTTATAGAACAGCTTCATTTAATGCAATTTTTTTATATCGCTTTTATCTGCCTCAAGGAAATCCAAACTCAGAAAAAGTTTGTTTTATGGAACAGACTGCTGTTTATCTAAACTTTAAAGCTGCAAGTATTTTGAGTGGTATTCATAAAGTTCTCATGCTAAGAAGCATTTGAAGTGTAAAAAAAATGGCAGTTCCGATAGGTCCATCAATGGGAAGGTACCTAGCCTCTGGTTGTCAGACGCTGGGAATTGGCAACAGGAGGTTGATCACTTGATGACTAGTTCTGTTCATTCCCTTTTGGGCATCTGGCATTGGCCACTGTTGGAAGACAGGATGCTGGACTAGATGGACTTCTGACCCGCATGGTCATTCTTGTGTTTTTAATCAGCTGAACCATTTTCCTCAGACTGTGATCACTTCAGAATTTGAATACAGAGAGAAACAAGCCTCACTCCCTCTCCATCATTATTGCTGTTGAGAACAATATGTTCCCCATAGCAGCAACAGCCACTTAGGGACAATTTTGCAGAAGGGAACTTATATGTTGCTACTAACGAGCATCTACTAGACTGTTCCTAATGTTTTCTACAAGCCAGAAAGTATCTGCTTTCAAATGGTGTTTGCTATCGTAAATTGCTGAAGCACTTAATTTTATGCTGCAGGCTATTTTTCTGTGTTACTTTAGCATGTCACACTAGACTTACTAGTTCTTAAAACTTTTAAAAAAGTAAGCTAATTTATTTCACAGTTAACTTTAAAGAGACCTTTTCTCCATTATTTACGCAAATGAATTTTAACCTCTTAACAGGGTCTTGGAAAGACACTGCAAACAATTTCTCTTCTTGGGTACATGAAACACTACAGAAATATTCCTGGCCCTCACATGGTATTAGTTCCCAAGTCCACTTTACACAACTGGATGAGTGAATTCAAGAGATGGGTACCAACTCTTAAAGCAGTTTGTTTGATAGGTGACAAAGACCAAAGAGTAAGTATGAGACACTTTGTTATGTATTTATATTTTTCTTCTACCCTACCCCAAACTGTTTATATATGGTGGCCACAACACATAAACTTGCCACCTTGTTATATTTTCTAATTGTGGCAGGCAGCTGCTGTAGATTGTTCAGGAGATAGATTAATGGTTTAGAAGTGGATTCCAGAGAATTGACATTTTAGACATAGAAGTCTAAAATACAACGGCAGCCTTAGCCACCTCCTACCCATATCTCATCCTTGTCGCCAGGTGATAGATACCCTAAGCCTCTTCCCCCTATATCGGAGGATGACTTCAGGTCATTCCAGGAGGTATAAGAAGGTGGCAGATGTGTTGGAGATCTCCCTGGTGAAACTGCTGGACATCCAGCATAAGCTGACCAGTATTCTTCATGCCTTGTTGGTGAAATTAGCACTACCAATGAACCCAGCCCTGATGGACCCAGCCAAATCTATCTGGAAGACACCTGCTACCATTCCACTGGTCTGTAAGAGATCAGACAGGAAATATGTGATGCCACAAGAGGCTGATGTTCAGTTCTCCCATTTCTCTCCAAAATCTCTGGTGATAGAAGTGGTAAATCAAAGGGCAAAACAAAGTGCTGCCTGACCACTCCATATGACAAAGAATGGAAATGTTGGGACTTAGAGGGCAGGAAGGCTTATTTATTGGCATCATAGCAATTACATATTGATAACTACACCGCCCCCCTACCCAGCTACACCACATATTTGAACAGGTGGCACATTTTATTGAAAGTCTTCCAGACAATTAAAGGGAACAGTTTAAGGCAAACATAAATGAAGGTGTCCTTATTTCCTGCAATGCCTTGCAAACGGCCCTGGACTCTTTAGGTACAACAGCTCGCTCCATTGCCACAGCCATGGTGCTAAGAAGAGCATGCTAGCTGTACTTACCTGGCTTTTCACAGGAGGTTCAAGCCATGGAGAACCTTCCCTTTGAAGGCTCAAAGCTATCCGCCAACTCCATGGATGCTTCTCTGCATGTTCTTAAAAACAAAAAAACCCTCATGTTCTGCATTGAAGATCCTGGGTATCCAAGTACCTGCAACACAGGAAGCAGGGAAAATATTTTACACACAGATATAGGTCCTTACCCTTCAATCAATCACAGAGGCAATATGAGGCCAGATGAAGACAGTGCTAGATAGGCACAGGCAGAGCACCGATCAACCCTCAGCCTCCCAACCTTCAAACTCTAGACAAACATTGTGACTTTCTGGTTGAGGATACAGTAAGCCACATATCTCTCAGGCATCCAGAGAGACTACCTAGATTGAACGGTTGCCTGACACCCTTCTATCCGAATGGAGTTCCATTACTCTGGATAGATGGGTACTGGACATTGTCAAGGTTATTGTCTCCCTTTTTCGTTTATTCCTCCAACCCATCCTCCCTTCCCGTTGACCTTCAGGGACACATCTCATCCAGGTTCTCAATCACCTACTCCCACTGGAACCAATAGAACCTATACCCCCATGTCAGAGGGGAAGGGATTCTACTGCATTTATTTCCTTACAGCAAAGAGAATGGGAGGATGAAGGCAGATTCTCAGTTTAAGAAAGCTCAACCATTACATACACCCTCAATAGTTCAAGATGATCATCTTATCCAGAATAGTCCCTGCCTTAGAGAAAGGAGATTGGTTATCGACCTTCAAGATGCGTATTTTCACATGTTGATTCATCCAGCACACAGAAAATGCCTTTGTTTTGTGGTGAACAATGAACATTTTCAATACAAGGTGCTCCCCTTCAGACTCTCCATACTACCACGGGTCTTTTCCAAAGTAGTGGCCGTTGTGACAGCATGCCTCTGCAGACCGGGAGTCACCATTTTCTGTATCTTGATAAGTCTATGCTTTTAACAGTCAAGAGACATAAGAAGCAGTGAACCTTACTATTCAATATTTCAGAATCTAGCTTTACAGATAAATCTACAAAAATGCAAACTCACACCAACACAAAAATTAGAGTTCATAGCTGCTAACCTGGACTGCACAGTAGGGATAACCACACTTCCAGGCAGTCTCAGAACCGGTGGGAATAGCACAGAACTGGTGTTGAATAGTGCACAGCCATCCTCCTGTCAGTTCAAAGTTATGCCTTCAACTATTAGGACTCATTGCGGCAGCCACATTCGTGATGCAACACACCAGATTATACATGAGACCACTGCACTTATGGCTAAGGACAGTCTACAAACCACATTTTTTTTAGAGCATCAACAAAACCATCTCCATTCCTATGAAGGTGAAGCAGTTGTTAGGTTGGTGGACAGATGCACTCAATGTGTGCCAAGGAGTTCCTTTCCACCCACAACCACCATCCATAGCTCTCATGACAGATGCATCTCTGATGGGTTCGGGTGCACATACCGGCAAACAAATGATGCAAGGTTGGTGGTCTTCAGAGGAGTCCAAATTACACACAAACATGCTGGAGCTCACTTCCTACATCTAATTTGCAACAGGACAGTACAAATCTTCATGGACAATCTGACAAATAAGTACTACATAAGCCACCAGGGCAGAGACAGATCTTACCACCTCTTTATGGTGGCAGTCCAGCATGGAAATGGTATATCCCATACAATATACACCTCTGAGTCACCTTCTTACCAGGCAAGAAAAATATCATG